CAGCGGGCGAAGAACGGTACAAGATAAACGTTCCCGCCGTCGGGGACGCCTGCCCCTGGGCGGCAGGACAGTTTATACCACTACGGTGCCACCGTAAGGGTATAGACTCTCCAGCCGCCCTGGGACTGGCGCACCCGACAGCGGAAAAGTTCATGTCATACAGTCGGGGCCCTGAAGAAGGAACCCTTTTTTGTTGGGGAGGGGCTCCGTGTTCCTCAAGTTTGTCGCAGCTTGCCTTGGATGCTCCTTAGGCTTTCGATACGAAACCGAAGTCTGACTTATGTAAAATAGGGGCCCCGTTCCTTACTTAGGGTTCGTTAGGTCAACGCCTCGACTGTGAATTCTAGCATGACCACGCGCCTATTTGCGGGTGCTCGAAGAGTTAAAAAAACGCCTCGACTGTGCCCTCCCTCGCCCGTGAAAGATCTCTCGGCCCATCCGCCTGGACCGGCGCTGCCTCCCGAGCCGTTCTGTGGCCGTCCTGGGGCCCGGCCTGGGCCACCCTGCCCTTGGCATCGCTCGGACGTCCATTCCCTGTGTTTTTTTTGGGGGGGGGTCGTGCGTGGCTTTCTCGCCAAATGATCCAGGATGCTCCTCGATGGTCCTCGCCGAATGTTTCCTTCGGCGAGGACCATCGAGGAGCATCCTCGATCATTTGGCGAGAAAACCCACGCACGAAACCAAAAAAAAAAACACAGGGAATGGACGTCCGAGCGATGGCCAGAGCCTGAGGCCGACCATGGCCCAACAGAAAGACCGCCCGTCGTGCTTTGTGGCTCGAGGCCCGGAGAGGTCTGGGGTCCGAGCCAGAGCCTGGGGTCCCCCGAGACCACAAGCGGCGAGCATGTCCTGAAGTCGGGCCTGTCCTTCTACAGGGGAATGCCCAAAAATAATCAAAGAAGTGGTCTGGGGACGATTTTGCGAGTATGTTTCAAGCATGTTTGAGCGTTTGCTGGTTTTTCCCAACCATCCTGTGGTGTTGGGGTCCTCGTTTTGAAGAGACGGTGCCCCGCGTTGCTCCTCCTCCTCTCCTCCTCCTCCCCCTCCTCCCTCTCCCCATCACCAGCACCATCGTCACCATCATCACCATAACCCATCATCCATCAACATCATCATCCGCAGCATCATCCGCATCCGCATCCACATCATGATCATCATCATCATCATCATCATCATCATCATCAGCATCATCATCATCACCATCACCATCGTCATCATCATCATCATCATCATCAGCAGCAGCAGCAGCATCAGCATCGTCATCATCATCGTCATCATCATCGTCCCCACCACCCATGTCGCCACAACCCTCACACGCTTCGTGGTTTCATATGGAGCTCACCTTAAGGTCCCAGTGGCGGAACTCGCATGACGGCCCCGCCCCATTTTGGCACACCCCTCACACGCTTCGTGGTCCCATAGGGAGCTCCACCTAAGGTCCCAGTGGCGCAGTTCGCACGGCGGCCCCGCCCCATTTTGGCACACCCCTCACACGTTTGGTGGCCCCACAGGGAGCTCCACCTAGGGTCCCAGTGGCGGAACTCGAATGGCGGCCTCGCCCCATTTTGGCACACACACACACACACACACACACACACACCTCACACGGTTCCCACAGGGAGCTCCACCTAAGGTCCCAGTGGCGGAACTCGCATGGCGGCCTCGCCACATTTTGGCACACCCCTCACACGGTTCATGGTCCCATAGTGAGCTCCACCTAAGGTCCCAGTGGCGGA